AATGTCAGGACCCGGGGAAACCATAATGGATAAACATGATGAGGAGACATGAGGAGATGAAGTTGGGACAGGTGACTGTGCACATGCTTATTCAACCTCCCTGTGATGACTAGTCATGTGGGGAAGCAAGGACGAGTAAGCAGACCCCAGGCCAATTAAGCTCAGGGTCTAGGTCAGATTTAGGGAGAATTAGGCCAGTAGGTGACAGTTCTGATGAGGTGCATTTCCACCATCACCCTGGAATTGAAGAGCAAGAGGGTACCGTGTGGCAGGGAGGACAGAGACCTGAGGGGGGGAAGGTCCTGGGGGAGGATTGCATCCCTGCCGGGGTGATGCGTGCCTGTTAGAAAGAAGATGTTTGAAGATCTTGGGTGCATTCTGTGAGACCAGAGGCTGATCTCTGCACACAGAGGACTGGATGAGGATGCACCCCACTATGTGGGAAATGTTTCCAACCATGAGAAGATGAGAGTGCTCAGGGTTGTTTCTTTCAAGGAAGGGACAGGACACACAGGAGCCTGTTGATGGGAAGGTTCCAGGCACAGGGTGGGAACTCATCAACAAATATTTGGTGTGAGGTCTCCCTCTGCTCTTTGCAGTGAGAATGTGGGATGAGGATCACAAAGAAGAAAAAACATATCTCTGGGCGCAGCTGTGAGCTTTGAGAGGAAATCCTGCTCCCAAGAAGTAGCCTCTTCCTTCCCCACCAAGCCCCCACATGCTCCTTGGGGATGTGTTTGTGTCGCAGGGGATCTCAAGAGGTCCCCCTGTGCCCCGAGCCCTCCCCCGCTGTTCTGAGCACTCCTTGTGTCCCACAGGGAAGTCTGGCTGGGCTCACACTGACTTCCCCTCATAGCTTCTCTCACAGCATCATGCGCAGCTGTGTCCTTGTTTCCCAGGCTGATCATTCACACGTAGAGTGCACTTTGGCTCTTCTTGCTGGAGAAGGTGAATTGTCCCTTCACAGAGATGGCATATAATGTGGTATTTCCATCCACAGTAATATCGGAGTCCCCGTCCAGCTCCTTTCCCAGAGCCTGGAGGACCCAGTGCACATGGGAGCCACTGGAGATGTGACCCATAGACTGTGCAGGAAAGTTTTTGGAGACACTGCAGTCTGACACCTCCACCAGATTTCACCAGCTGCACCTCACACTGGACACCTGCAAACAGAGGTTCGTCCTTGTCAGTAAACTGTCCTCTGCCCACTCTGTCTCTCAGTCATATTCACCCTCATACTCAGTGTTTCTCATTCTCCACAAATTTCCTGTTCCAAAAGCAACAAGGGAACCCGAGCTGAGCCCAAGGTCCATGGTGAGTGGTCGGTGTCTTATCCTGAGCAGGGACTTGGGACACCTGGGAATCCTAGGCTGGGTTCCCTTCCCACAGCAGCAGGATTGTCCTGGGCTGCTTTCCATCAGTAGAGGGGCCGTATTTAATGCCCTCTTACTACATAGAGAGCTTTGGGGTTGACCAGTGATATGAAGGACATGGCCCTAGGATGTGACTTGCCCAAGAGCACATGTCTGTTAAGAATTCCTTCCCAGCCTTGGAGAGTTTGGTTCAGTCACTTAGACGTTCATCCTGTTACTGAAGGTTGCAGGTTCAATTCAAGGCAGGGGCATCCATTATCCTCTGCCTGGACCTGCATTGGAGACAACCAATCTCTCTCTCTCCCCCCCCCACTATCACCTCCACCACTTCCTTTATGATAATAATGAAAAAGATTCTTCTGTAGATGAGAAAAGAGCAATAATATAAAAAAATCACTTCCCACAATGTTCCTGTGCTCTGCCCAGTGACCCAACTTCTCAAAGAGATGGATACATGACTTAAGCGAGTAAGCTATCATGAATGGAGAGGGGTTTAAACTGAGAAATACCTTTGAGAATCGCCAGTAGTGAACACACCATAGAAATCAACCCTCATGACCAGAGGAGGCAGGGAATTCCATCTGACCCTATTTCCTTTACAAAGCAATCAGACCATGAACTAAGAACAGAGCATGGCCCTGCAGCCTGTGGACGCAGTATAGGAGGAGGTGAAGCATCTCTGTGGATCATTGGAGACAGAAGTGTGAACTCCACAGAGAAGCAGGCTGTGCTCCTGGATCATATTCTTTCAGTGGAGTTTGGTAATGAGTGTGAAATATCATCACTGCCTCAATTTTGTCTTTATTCTCTAACCCTGTCGTAGGATCAGGCTCAAAAGTCTTTAATCTATTTTCACATGTGCACATGCCACTGAGGAATGCTGTTACCTGGTCATCACTAAATGGCTGACACCTAGGCACAAAGTCACATTAAATCGTGAAACTCAATCTTGATGAAATCTTCTTAGGTGAAGGTGTAGTTAATGATTGTCACATAACCATGTTAAAATTATAGAAATTTCATTATGAAAAACCTGAATGATGAACATGAAATTAATATGAAACAACAAAGAATAAAGAAATCATAATTTATATGAAGAGCATCATTTTCATTCATCCATTGATTACATTTAAATAGTCTCCCCTCCCTAGGGCCGCTGTATGTAACTTTCTTTAACCTGGTTAGCTGCGGTGACTCTGTCTTATTCTCACCATCAGCATCTCCTGGTCTGTGAACAGGTCACATAGTTCTAGTCAGGAATTAAAGGGAAATGTTTATCCCTGGTGCATGAAAAATAAGTTTCAGAAGTTCCTTCCCTTATTCATTTTCATGCCTGCACATGCCTCTGGGAATACTGCGACCTGGCCCACATGAGATGGCTCTCACCTGGGCTTGAAGTCCCATGCTGCATGGATCAGTGTGCAGAACTGGGAAGAGATCCTCCCAGGTGCATGAGTGGTGGGATAAAGCAAGCCTGGAGCCAACACTTCCAGGGCCGTTGTTCTTCTTGTTGTGATTTTTCTCCTCATGGAGCTAGTTCAAGTCGTCTTATTTCTCTCTCCTCAGTAAGAACCTCACATAGTCATCTAGTCATTGATTTATTCAACTGGCCAAAAAATTGTTTTTTGCTGTCAGATGGCTTTTGTAATGAATGCATAGTTGTCTTCACTGAATTATGCTTCAGTGCTGGGTAGACCTGGTGAATTTGATAGGAATTAAACCAAGACATTAATTGAGAACGATCAACATTATATCATGTGTGAGATAGCCGACAGAAAAATCTGTCTTTTAGTCCTCTACATAGAAAACTACACAACACTGAAGAAAGAAATTAAGGACGACATAAATAAATGGAAGCATATACTGTGTTCATGGATTGGAAGAATTAACATCATCCAAAAGTTCATACAAACATAGCAAGTTATAGATTCAATGCAATCCCTATTAAAACATCAATGACATAATTCACAGACATAGAATAAATATTTAAGAAATTTATGTGGGACCATAAATCACCCTGAAGAGCCACATCAATTTTGAGAAAGAAAAAGAAAGTAGGAGGGATCACAATACCTGACATCAAACTATACTACAAAGCCATTCTTATCAAAATAGTTTGGTACTTTTATAAGAACAACCACATAGATCAATAGAACAGAGTAGAGAGCCCAAAAAGAAACCCATGTCTCTATGGTCAATGAATATTCGACAAAGGGGGCAGAAGCATAAAATGGAGTAATAATATCCTCTTCAAAAAATGGTGTTGGGAGAGCTGGGTAGCTACAAGCAAAACACAGAAACTCAATCACCAACTTACATTATACACAAAAATAAACTTAAGATAGATAAAAGACTTAAATATAAGTCATGACGCCATAAAAGTCCTGGAGGAGAACATAGGCAGGAAACTCTCATATATCCCATGCAGCAATATATTCATTGATATGTCCCCTAGAACAAAGGGCATAAAGGAAAACATAAACGAGTGACACTTCATCCAAATAAGAAGATTCTGTATATTAAAAAAAAAAATCAGCAAAATGAAAAGGGAACCAAACGTATGGGAAAATATGTTTGGCAATGATACCTCAGACAGGGGTTTGGTCTCAAAAATAGATAAATAACTCTCACAACTCCACTCCAGGAATACACAGAATCCAATTCAAAAATGGGCAAAGGGCCTGAATAGACACTTCTCCAAGGAGGACATTCACAGGGCCCAGAGACATATGCAAGGATGCTCATCATAATTAACCATTAAAGAAATGCAAATTAAAACCACTATAAGATATCACTTCACACAGGTCAGAATAGCCCACATAAATAAATCAACAAACACCAGATGCTGGTGAGGTTGTGGAGAAAGGGGAACCCTAGTCCACTGTTGGTGGGAATGCAGACTGTGGGAAACACTGCACCACTGTGGAAAACCTTGAACCACTGTGGAAAACCGTGGCTGCACCACTGTGGAAAACACAGTGGAATTTCCTCAAAAAGCTAAGAATGGAACTGCCTCTTGACCAAGCATTTGCATTGCTGGGATTATACCCTAAGAATCTGAGAACACCAATTCCAAAGAACCTATGCACCCCAATGTTCATAACAGCAGAATTTACAGCAGCCAAGTGCTGGAAGCAACCTAAGTTCCCATCAGTAAATGAGTCGATCAAAAAAACATAGTACGTTTACACAATGGGATACTACACAGCAGAAAGAAAGAAAGATCTATTATCTTTCGCTACAGAATGAATGGAACTGAGGAGAGTTATGCTAAGCAAAATACGCCAGAAAGCCAAAGTCAAATACCCTATGATCTCACCTGTAAGTGGAACCTGATCAGCAAAGCAAGCAGGCAATGAAAATATGACCAGTGACACTGAAAGAAAGAGGAAACTGATAGCTATGGAAGGGAGAAGGGAGGCAGGTAGCAGAGGTGGGAAGGAAAATGGTGAGATCAAGGAGTGAAGGACAAATGGGTGAAGACAAGGAGGGGAAGGATTGATGGGGGAGGTAGGGGTGGGTAGGGCAGGGTGAAGTGGTGTCGGGCAAATGGAGACAAATGTATTTGAAAATTTAAAGAAAGGAATAAAACATTTGAATACAGTATTTAAAATAATATTTTTTTCCATGCTCACTTTGACAGCACATATAGTAAAAAGGAATCATTCAGAGAAGATTAGCATGGCCCCTGAGGAAGGGTGACATGCAAATCCATGAAGCGTTCCATATTTTTTTAGTTAATTTTGGACAAATGAGGCAAGAGCATTCAATGAAGTAAAGACAGTCTCTTCAACAAAGGAACACACATAGAGGACCCACGGGCATGGGCAATCAGGGAGACTGAGTGTGGGAGTTGTGGGGGTGGGATGGGGTGAGCAATGGGGACAAGGGGGGACAACTATAACTGATCAACAATAAATAAAAAAATAAAACAAAAAATGTGTCTATTTTATGGAAAAATGCTAAATGGTCTTTTTTGGCCAACCAACTATTTTGAAAACTATCTCATCTTCTTTACTCAGTAACTTTAAAAAAGGAATTTTAGCTTTTGACACAATGGTGAAAAACCCAGAGGGTGTTATGCTGTAATAAGTGTGTGTGGTCCCAGGTAGGAGCTGGGCATATTGGGCCATCACATCACAATCTGTATAAATTGCTGACCACTCTGCTCTAGGCAAGATGCTCCTATAAATTATAATGTGCAAAGTCAGCTGGAATTTAAAAATAAAAAACGGAATTAACCCAAATGTCATGGAGTCTAAGGCAAGGTTGTGGGGCAGAGGTCAACAGGTAGGGGACATGGCTGAACCCAGGACAGTGCTCATACATTTCATCTTTATTGGGAAACTTCAGAGCACCTGTAGGTGTATTAGAGACTCCCACTGAACTCCTCATCCTAGTTCTACTCTCTGGTGGTTCAAACTGCAGTAAGCAAACTGGCAGCAACTAACCAGGACTTAGTATAAAATATCTGACTTGCTATAGGCCCTTTGTGTGATTTCAATTCTTCAAGACAAATAGTTCCTGTCCTCTTGCTGTGTGTTTGTTTCCAGCCTGGACATCCACGCAAAGCTGTTGTTTGGTCCTCTGCCTCTGTGCGTTGTCATCGACAATTGGTGCTGAAGCATGTCATCAGTGTCATCAAGGTAATGATCTTCTACATCAGGATTCTTCCTCATCTGGTTGTGGGTTTTTTATTTTTATCAATAAATGGGTAAAGAATACCAAAGTCATTTAAAGCTTCTTAAAAATAACAGAAATAGGCAAGAAAAATACAAAACCATTTTTAGTTTCAAGAAATAATAAAGGAACCATTAAAATAACACATCATTATCACAATCAGATTAATGTGTATTAAAAATATTGGTGATATCAAGTATTGGCAATGGTGAAAGGAACTGCATATTCATAGACTCTTTTTCTTCATTTTCTTAAAGCAGGGCCTTTAGCATATTTTGCAGTGCTGGTTTGATGAAGGCATATTCTTCTAGTCATCTTCTGTCAGGAAAACTTATTTCACCTTCCATTTTAATTGAGAGTCTTGCTGTGTAGATCATTCTAGGTTGTAGGCCTTTGCTTTTCATTAGTTGGAATATTTCTCGCCACTCCCTTCTGGCTTGCAGTGTTTCTGTTGAGAAGCCAGCTGCTATCCTCATCGGGGCTCCCTTATATGTTCCTATCTTTCTCCCCATTGCTGCCTTTAGGAGCCTCTGTTTATTTTTTATAGTTGCCATTTTAGTCATGATATGTCTTGGAGTGGTCCTCACTAAGTTCCCCATTGATAGGATCCTCTCAGCTTCCTGGACTTGTGTGACTTTTTCTCTCTTCCAATTAGGGAAGTTTTCCATCCTTACTTTTCACACAGGTTCTCTATCCCTTCTTCCTCCTCTTCACCTTCTTGTATCTTTATTATACGGATATTATTACGTTTAAGGTTGCCCTGCATTTCCCTCACTGACTCTTCTTTCTTTTTGAGTCTTTTTAAAATTTTCTTCTTCTTTCTGAGAGCTTTTTTCTACATTGTTCCCCAGATCGCTGATTCTATCTACAGCTTCAACTAGTCTACTTTTCACTTCCTCTACTGTGTTCTTCAATTCATAAAGTGTATTCTTCATTTCCTCTTCTCTCTTATTTATAGTTTCAATGTCTTTTTTAATGTTGATATAGTTTGCAGTCAGTTCCTCTTAGTTTCTCTGTATTTATTTATTTATTTTTATTCTCGCTGAGCTCACTGAGCTCATTGAGCTTCCTTAGAATCGTTGTTTGGAACTCAATATCTGATAGTTGAATTACCTCTATTTATTTAATCCTCTTTTTGCGGATTCCTTCTTTCCCTTGAATTGGAGGATATTCCTTTGTTTTCCCATTATCTGTGAGACTCTTCTTTTTTGCTTCCACTTCTTAAATTTATCTGTCTTGACTTCCTGACTTTGTGATGTGAATTTCTATGGTAGGGGACCACTGATTTTACTTTCTGGATCAGCCTCTGATGATGCAAGGTGTTGTTGTCCCTGTCTGAACTTGGGCAGTCTGTTTGAGATTTCCTGGAATCTACTGCCTGTGGCTGTGTCCTTCTGTTAATCTAGTCACTCTACACTCAGCAGGGTGACTTAGGCATCACAGGGCACAGTAGAGTCACTCTGGTGCGCAGGGTTATTGGGTCTTCTCACCCTCTTGCTGCTCAGAGCGGGGATTTCTGCCTGAGCAAGAAAGCTGCTGTCATATGGAGGATGAGTCAGCACCCAGATCCTGCTGGCTACTCTCTAAGTTCTCTCCCTAAAGCCTTTCTCCCCAGTCTCTCCTTAGGCATCTCTAGCCCACTCTTCCTCTGCCTTTGCCTGAGATCAGGGTAAGTGACTGTAAATTAAAACTTATGTGTGGGTCCTTTCAACAAATATTTGTGTCTCCAGTTACCTGTCTCTGGAAGAGAGCAACCCTGCCACTTTTTGAAGCTGGCAGTCATCTGTGTACTTTTTGGCCTCTGGTGTTATAGGATGGAAATCCCTGCTTTTGGTTTAGACCCCACTCTTCTCAGGGGACCCAACTTGCCCTTTCAATGCCCTTCTGGTACTGTTGCCCATGAGTGCCATGCCACCCTTCTTGAGTTTCTGTCTCCTTACCAGTTAGATTGCACTAAAGCTTAATCTTTTTTCCGAGGTCATAAGGCTCTTCTCTCACTATCTTTCAATTGTTTTCCAGGTGATTTCTCCACAATTTATTTTGTAATTCCAGATTAGTCCTCGGAGGAGCTCAACATGGCTTCCACTCACTTGTCCACCATATTGATTCTGAAAAAAGAAAACTGTTTCTAAAAGTTATGTAATGCTCATAAAGGTATCAATAAAGAATGCTAATTACTTTTAGTTGCCACTAAAAATCATGGATTCTAAAAATTAAGGATTGTAAGTAAGTTGTAAAGAACTGGTAGGATTTGATAATTGAAGGTGTAAGGTATGAAAACTGTTGTTGAAGAAATAGATGATATTTTCTTTTAATGTTGGCTATTTCTGAATGAAATTTCAAAAGCAAGTTAAAAGGGAATGTGCACAATACAGAAAATCTGTGTACATCACAGAGAGTTTATGAAGTAAAAGATGTGTAAAAAGAGGTTTTGGGAGCAAATTATATTGTTCAGCTCTATATTGAATTTAATGAGAAAAATGAGTATAAATTTCAAAGATAAGCTAAAAAAATTTGCAGACTTCTTCTTCAGTCTGTTCAAAGGATAGAACTTTTTGACCTTAGAATACAAAAAAAAATAGTTCTATTTAATTAAAAAAAATATTTATGCGTTACATTGTGTTAATGAATATAATTGATTATGTAAAAATACATATTGTTCATTGTAAGAAGTAAAGTCATAGTATCCTGTATTAATGTTAACTTTATTTTTAAAGTATATAAGTCAATATTCAATATATTAATATTTTTCATAGTGATATGTAATATTTTTGTCAAACATGTTTGACAAACTTCCCAGGTTTTAATTTTTAAGAGGCTTCTTTTGACCTATAATTCACTTTGAGCCATTCCAATGAGTTCCTGGAATGTCAACCAGATTTGCACTTTTTTTTTTTTTAAGAAGAAGAAGAAATTTTGAACTGATTAGATGTATTTGATATTCTTAGCATCGATGGGGAGTTTTTTTCAAATAAAGAAATAATAAATATGTTCTATTTATACAGATATTTTATTAAAATTCATGTTTAGAGATTATATAGATATATCCAAGAGTCAATAAAGTTTTGATATAATTTCATTTGTAAAGATATCTTGAAATTTCTACAAAGAGAACATTTCTTTGCCCACCTCATAGTAATCAGGTCTATAACCATGTCATTTCAAGTTTCTTTTTCTGTTACTTAGGCACACTCATTGTTTGATCACAATGCATTTACAAATATGTTATATCTTCAGGAAGATCCATGGAATGGATATGCTATGCTTTAAATTCTGAGTTTTGAGAATAAATTTTCAGGTCATGTTTTTGAATGAGATAAATATTACTAGAACTTCATGCAATAACTGGATTTATAGAAATATAGGCAAATAATTAACAGAATCAAAGCTGATTATGGGACAGAATGAATGAAGATCACTGTAGTTTTGTTACTTTTGGTGAAACTAGTGCTAATTTTTATAACTTATGATTTCCGGACATAAGAAAATTTGCATTTTTCTTAATGTAGCTTGGTGAATTACACTTTACACTTTAATAAGCAATTTTGAGGCATTTATATTTTTTCTCCTAGTTTGATCTCTCTGGAATTAAGAAAGGACCTGGTAACTTGCCTATTCATAAGGTTCACGGCAACCTTTCCAGGCAATGAGTTAAGTTTGCTTTCCTGAAAGATCATAAGGGAGAACCTCAGGACATTTGGGATGGCCTCAAAAACTTAAGGAATTCACCCAAAGCTGTAAGTATTGGAGGTAAAGCCAAACTTCAAACAGGTGGCTTCCCTTTGGTGCCCAATGCTGTAACTAAAGCTCCGATCTTGCAAATCCTTATAAGATTCCAGGAAAGCACATTTAAGGGAGCCTCCATAATCAACTGTTGTTCCTGTTATGTTTATGCCAGTAAAAACGCTGAATGGAAACAGAATTTATTGCAGTAAATGAATGAACCTTAGTTTGGCTTTTTGATAAATAGTATGATACACAATTATAGATACTAAAATATAGTTAAGTGAAAAGCTTTCTAAGATTTATTTTTCACTTGTGATTGAAGTGAAT